AGTACAAGAAAACTGTAAAATAAATAAAAATGATATATTCAGAGAATGATGGACTCATAAAGTAAAAAATGGAAGAATTAGTAGAACATTTATAGGACAGAATATGAAGGACTACATTAGGCAGGTTAATAAAACCAACRTATACGAGGAAATTCTATTTAGGCTGATACCCAGACATATGAAAATAGGGAGTAATAAAGACCAGCAAAATAATTTCCTCAAGGAGATCACTATCAAAATGTGTCCTCTCATTAGGAAGAGAGGATAAWCTTCAGGGACGACATTCATTTTGCTACATCTGCCCAGATCTTGTAATTTACTTCCATTGTTTCCTAAGATCAAGTAACTTGTTGTTATCTCCTCTGGTCCAAGCCCACCTCATCACCAGGCATCATTTTTAGGAAAGCTCCATATTCAACCCAACATCTTGCACAGTGAACTGACAATAAAATAAAGGGATTAAAAGATGGAGTTGGTTCATTGACTAGGATATTGAAATTAGCTACAAGAACTAGTCCTCAACTTTCTTCCAATAGTGTTCACTTAAATTTAAAAAGAAATATATGAAAGAGGGTAGTGTCAATAAAGCACTTTGTCAGGTTTCCTTCCAAAAGACAAAAAAAAAGTGGGGGTGGGAGGTAGTGTAAGTGGGTATATAAGGAGTATACCATAATGGTAATATTGATTTTCCACTAGCATGTTATTTTGAAAACTGATCTTGACAGTGCTTATTATAGACTTCTCCCACCTCCAGATGACTCATAGCCTCAAGGATATTCAGGAATGGAAAGGGACATTAGCTCTTCTTCAACTTTCACCATCAACCAAGCAATTATATTCTATGTCCTTGAGCAGTTTCCATTTATGTGACTCATAGCACTTCTTACAAAGTCTCACGACTACACAATACTTAGTATTATAGTGCAAAGTTAGGGCAGAACTTACAAGCCAGACTTTACAGTTTACTTCATCATGTACTGCATTATGTAACCTTTCTGTTTCTTAGTTTTTTCCTCTTCACATGCTGATTTTTCTCTTAATTAGTTGATGTACTTGAAACAGATCAGGACCCATAACAAGTATTCAATATACATTATCTGCTATTAATCATTTCTCTGACAAGTGCCCTGCTCCTTCTCTATCAAATAATGTTCTTAGAAATGACCCTAGCAATTACTTTACAGCTGACGTTGCCATCAAGCCTGAAATCTTGTGTAGTCTCATCTATACTCTTTTTTTTATTTAGTCTTTTTCATTCTTCCCCTTTGATGTCCCATTATAGAAATTATTCTGCCATCAAAGGATGATTAGTTCAGCTGTGCATGTGATAGAGTCTCCTTCAGAACCTTGTGCATTAACTGTAGCCTTTACCAAATATCCTTAACTTTTCTTTCTTYAATGACTCTTTAATTTCAGCCCATAAGTTTGTCCTCTTATCCAGAAAAAAAAAAAACTCCATGGTACAGGGCTGGGGATGTGGCTCAAGCGGTAGAGCGCTCGCCTGTCATGCGTGTGGCCCGGGTTCGATCCTCAGCACCACATACCAACAAAGATGTTGTGTCCGCCGAGAACTAAAAAATAAATATTAAAAAAAAATCTCTCTCTCTCTCTCCCCTCTCTCATTCTCTCTTTAAAAAAAAAAACTCCATGGTACAGTTAATTTTAAAGACAGTTTGGTAGTTTTTTACATAACTAATTATACTCTTACCATTCAATCCAAAAATCTCACTCCTAGGTATTTAGCCAAATGAGTTGAAATCTCATTTTCATAAAAAATACCTGCACATGAATGTTTTCATCAGTTTTATTCATAGTTGTCAAAAACTGAAAGCAACTGAGATGTCATGCAATAGGTGAATGGATAAACAGAGTGTGATACATCCATACAATGAACTATTAACAATCGAAAGAAATGAGCTATTTGATACCAAGAAACATGGAAGAAACTTAAATGCATATTGTTAAGTCAAAAACTTAACTGAAAAAGCTACATACTGTATGATTCTTACCATATACTATTCTGGAGAAGGCAAAATTCCTGAGACAATGGAAAGATCAATGGCTGCCAGGGGTAAGAAGTGGGAAAGGAAGAAGAATGAAAAGACAGAGCACATGGGGTTTTTAGGATAATTAAATTTCTGCATTATGCCGTCATGATGAATATAYGACAAAAGTTTACACACATCACTTCATAGTAACACCTAGAAGAATTTCACTGAATAACTAGGAGAAGGTGTGTACACCAGGGGTAGGAATCTTGGGTTCCATCTTAGAATTCTGCCTATGCCACTGTCCTGTCCTATGCTCTTGCCTCTTTTGTGACAGTAGACTAAAATTGATGTTCCTTATGCTTACAATTTGGGCCTTTTCTCTTTCCATATATTCCCTATTTATAGAGAAATATTTCCATATTTCCCTATAAAAAGTAGTTGAATCCATTTCCATAGATTCAACTACTTTTTATAGAAAGTTAACCACATCTCATTAACTCATTTGAACTCCATATACATATTTCTAGATGCCTCTTGGTAATATCTATTGGGATTTCCAATGGAGAATCAAGGAAAAGTTATAATGTCCCATTTCACACACATAAAAATAAGAACATGGCTCTCCCCATCACCTTTTCTCTTTGGATTGGTATTTTTTTGCAGTCGCTCAAAGTCAAAAACTTTAAACTTCTGTTAATATTTTCTGAAGAGTTACTATAGATGACGGACTCTCTTAAATTCTTAATAAGTATTAATATCTTATCCTCATCTCTGTGGGACAGATACCAGTATGTGGAGATTTTGCACAGGGGATTGTATCTAGTAAGTAGTAGGGCAAGGGTAAAAATCATCTGGCTCAAGATCTAATCTCTTAACAACTCTGCTCTCTATGTTTCTTTATCATGTCCACTTGGCCATCAAGTCCTACTAATTCTATCTCTGCAATATCACTCAAACTCACATCCTTATTTGTAACTCTGCTATCATGACCAGATTTAGGTTCCTAGAATATTTCTCTGTCTCTAGAGTAGTGTTTCTGTCTATACCTTTTACCCATTTCAGACAACCTTCTCGTGACTTCTTGTCATGTCATGTCAATCATGCTTAAGAAAATGATGTTTATATTTCATTTGTTTAGCGTCTTTCCAAACTCTTTAGCCTATCATACAAAGTCTATCTCTATTGGATTCCTGCCTGAATTTTCTGTCTTTTTTTCTACATGACTGAAGACATTTACATCTTCCTTATGAAACTTTTCTCTTTGCATGTGTAAGGCGCCTTCCCTTCAATATTATGAGTTGCTTGAAGCAGGAGTCAACATAGCACAATGACTGGTGTATAAAATGCACTTAACAAATATGCATTGAATAAATTGTATTTGGATTCTTTTTTTAAGATCCATGTTTTGAGATTCATTTTAAAAGATGGCTTCAAACCAGACACGTGGCACATGCCTAAAATCCCAGGCATTCAGAAGGCTGAGACAGAAGGATGGCAAATTCAAGGGCAGCCTTAGCCACACAGCCAAGAAATGGGCTTAGGGATGTGGTTCAGTCAGTGAACTGCCCTGGGTTCAATCCCTGATTAAAAAAAAAAAAAAAAAAAGATGACTTCAAGAAAGTAAATGAAAAGCTTATTCCCACCAATATATACCATATAGTTTTATTTACATGGAGTAGCTAGCAGGTTATTAACTCTACATGGAATACCATTTTATATCCGTTGAGATGAAGTCACGGGGTCTGATTCTTCATTCAATGGGTTACACCAATATCTTTGTTCAAAAAGGTATATAACTATGTTTATTTTGATTGTTTGCAGGTAGATGGATCCATACTGCTGAGTTTTTTTGCTTATTTGTTTTTATTTTTTAATATATATTTATTTTAGTTGTAAATGGACCTTTATTTTATTTATATTGGTGCTGGAACTGGAACCCARGGCCTCACACATGCTAGCCAAGTGCTCTACCTCAGAGCCACAAGCCTAGCCCCTACTGTTGGGTTTTTAATAAGACTGATTCACCCTGCCTCACCTTACCTGTACTTGTTTTACTGCTAGATGGTTCATCTAAAGCTAATCCAACCATAAACTGCATAGACCCTTGACTGTTAAAACTAAAGGAAAATGGCAGGCATCACTGGAGTGAACAGGATCATCCAATGCATTTAAAGGGCTAAAATAAGCCAATTTTTTCCCCATAGACTGATTCAAATGTTCTTCCTCAATTTGCGATGAACGGATACCCAAAACTGGTTAGTTTGGGGGGACTTTGTGTTTCTGCTTTGGCAAAACAAGCAAGATTAACTTCTTGTGGTTACCATTTTAAAATAAATTCCTCACACCAGGGAACTTTCAATCGTCCTCTCACTTGCCAAGCTTGCCTTCCTTCCTGGTTTACACTTCTAATGATTTTCGTGAGTTGCTCCTGCTAAACCCCGAGGGTGGACTCCTGACCTCCTTGCTAGATGTGCGAATGATGCCAGGGTTAGTGACTGCTCTGCGGCTCTCCAAAGCTCCTCCTCCCCAGACAGCGACAGCTCTTCGGATGCAGAGGTTGGGAAGCAGGACAGGGGACACTCCCGGGGTGCAGCTCGGACCGGGGGAAGCCGGATCCTGGATGCTGAAGAGGCCGCGCAGGGGACTGGCGTGCGCGTGCCATGCGGAGCGTGGACTCTTTCGGCCATCCCCCTGCTGCTCAACCTGCCCCCGACTCGCTTCTCCGGCTGGGCCGCCCGGCGCGGGCCGCTGTCCACAGTGGGAGGTGCTGAAAGCAAGGAGCGGGCGCGGGGGCGGCGAGGTGGACAGCTCCTCCGAGCGCCCCCCTCCCCGCTCCGCGGCGCCTCCAGCCCTCCCCTCCTCCCGCAGCCATGTTCCACGCGCGGGGAGGGGTGGGGGAAGGGGAGAGAGACGGGGGACCAGGGCGGAGAGAGCCGGCTCTGCCTGGGGGAAGGAGGGGATGAGAGTTGGGGGGAGCAGCGGGAGGAGGAGGAGGCGGCGGCTAGCGAGGAGCCGGCGCTGGGTCCTGCAGTAGGGCTCCCGGGAGCCACCATCATGGTGAAGAGGAAGAGCTCCGAGGGCCAGGAGCAGGACAGCGGCCGCGGCATCCCGCTGCCCATCCAGACCTTCCTGTGGCGCCAAACCAGGTGAGGGGCGCAGAGGGCGCGCCGCGGGCGCCCTGGGCTGGGGCGCTCCTGGGGCCGCGGGGTCGCCGCCGCTGTCACCGCTGCCGCTGAGGCCGCGCCACAGCCTGCAGCTCCCTCTCTGGGGCTGGAAAGCCAGCCCTCTGCACCGGTTTAGAAACACGCATTTGGAAAAAAAAAAAAAAATTGAGTGAAGTTTGACGACAAGCAGATTGGCAGTTTTCGAATAAATATGTACATTATTTAGAGGGTGGGAGGGCAAAGAGTCTGGGAAGAGGGGGTGGATGGCTAGGGAAGATAATTATGACTGGTTGTGCTCCTGCGTCCAATTCCCCCTCCATCTCCGGCTGTAATTCCAGCCTGGTGACCTGTTGTTTTCCGGCTCTTGTTCGGTGGATATGTGTTATGCCCACTTGTTAACCATTTTTGCCCAGATTCAGCTGGCGTAATCTCTCTGGTAAAAGCCCCTGAAGAGAATGGATTTTGATAAGGGATTTCTCCCCCACCCTGGACAGGCCTGAAACCTATTCCAATAAAGAGCAAAGAAGGTTCCCCTATTTATTATTATTTATTATTACTATTATCATCGAGATGTATCGGATAAGAAATTMGATCCTGGCAGTCATGATCCACAGAGTGTTCGTTTTTCAGTTGTTAATATGACTGTGCACAAGAGTCATGCACCACTTCTGACCATTGGCAATATAGAATCTGATTAGGTAAAAGTCTTGAGAATCAGAGTGGATCTGGAAAATTGTAAAGATTCACGTCTTTTTCATATACGGAATTACACGTGTAAAAGCAAGTRTACTCSGCTGTTCAACACCTTCTCATTAACCAGCTATAAGGAAGCATGAAATTTGAGTTTCATAGCTCCATGTCTTGTTCATTGAAAAATGTGTCATAAGGATTCTTTAATAATAATTTTGCTCATGTTTATAATAAGTGTCTCCCTTAATTTTTCAGTGCATTTTTGAGGCCTAAACTGGGGAAGCAATATGAAGCTTCTTGTGTGGTACGTGATTTTCACCATTAAATGTTTATTTTCATATTCTGTGTGGTGATTTGAACCCAAAGAAAGAACTAAATCATACTGACTACACATATTAAATCATTTGGTAAATATTATTGAGCACCTACTCTGTGCCAGACACAATTCCACTGATGGGATGGAGGGGTGGCAGATAGACAGGCCACAAACAAATGTGAAAATAAAACACGTAAATAATAAGCCACATGGTGATAAGCACTGGAGGAAAAAAAAGCAACAAAGAGGATTGGGAAACACCTTAGTAGGGGTTTGTTTTATAAGGGGAGAGTAGATAAGACTTAACTACTAATGCGATGCTTGGGCAAAGACATGAAGGAAGGGAGAGAGAATACCATAGTGAGGGAAGAGCAGGGAGAACTTGAGCTAGAGGACACAGGCACCCAATGGGGAAGTGAGGGATACGGTGGGGAGGAACTGAGTGCTGGAAGAAAGGGCAGAGAGACAACAGAACCAGGCATGGACCTTCCAAGGCATGTGTGAAATGTCACATTGGTAATCAGCAAAATCGAGATTATTATACAGTGGATGTTCCTATTATGAATTGCTATGAGCCACTTGAACACAATAATAGACATTTCTGTTTTATGTTTGCCATATACTCTGAAAGTTTAAAAATTAATAATATAAAACTATTACAAGTGAAAATAATGCTATTAATATTTATACAATGTGCACCTGTCTTGAGATTCTAAGAGAATCCCATTTCCTTACAAAGTCCCATTTTATAAATGGAAAAAAATAAGATGTGATATCATGAAGCAAAACTGAAATAGATTTTAACAGATTTCCTTAAAATGTGGAGCTCTTACAAATGCCTTGACATTTCATGTATTATAATGTGAAAGTAGAAACCTACCCCTTTGGATATTGCCATCCATGTTTAAAAACAGCTACGTGGATGACTTTCTGTGAGGAGCACTGAGGAGTCGTGACTTGTGATGGAAGCCAACAGGAGAGTTAGAAACACACACATACTCAAGTAAACATTTTTATTGAGTCTCCTGTCCGTCAAAATTGCCACATAGACATTTATTTTTTTAAATGTAGCTTTCTTATACRGGCCTGTTAATGGAACTTCTCATTGTACTTGACTCATTAGAATAATTTGACAGTTGAAATCTGTAAGTCTTTCTTAAAACTATGCTGCCAATTACAGTATTTTAAAGCAACCATTATTTTTCTCTGTTCTTAGCAAAATCATGCCTGACATTTTTGGTGTAGCCACAAAATATCAAATAGTGGTTACATTTTTGGATGGGTAGATAGATAGGGATAGAGGTATTTAGACATCCATATGAAAAACAATTTTCAAGGTTTAAAAAATTATAAAAAGTTGGGTTGGGGTTGTAACTTGGTGATAGAGTGATTGCCTAGCATGTGTGAGGCACTGGGTTCCATTCTCAGCAYCACATATAAGTAAATAAAGGTCCACCAACAACTAAAAAACAATATTTAAAACAAATTATAAAAAGTTACGTTAATAGCATTTAAGAATAAAATGAAATACATAACACATCCTCTTTAGTATATTCATTAGACTATATAAATTCTYTAGAATCTTTTAGTGTCTAACACACTCATCCTTTACTTAGTGAATACTTCAGTTGAGGGATTTTAAAGTAGTTGGATCTGTATCACCAGCATATCTAAARGCCTTTATTTCATTTCTTCAAGAAAAACAAATATTACATATGATTGTGCTTCTTATCAAAGCCTCAGTCATCCAGTTAGAACACTTGGGTCTTGTACTATGATCCTTGTCCAAGACAATTACACAAGGTTCTTAAACATGTGGGGGTATCAAACATGTTCTTAGAAGTTACATATTCATTATCGTTACTCTAATATCTGATATTTTTACATTCTCCAATGCCTTGCAATGATATTCTCCTCCACCCTCGAACAAAACAAAATAAAAATAAAAAACAAAATGAACAAAATAACAAACAAACAAAAAAACCTGAGTAGATAAAATTTGTTACTTGTTCTAGGGTGTCTCATCTCTGAGAGCAACCCTGGCAGGGATAGAAGACTTTATAAGCTGCAAAGACAAGATGGCTTCTCTCATCCCTCCCTCCTTTTCTTCATTCTGCTCTTTCTCTATTCAACAGATATGAAGTGGGTTTTTTTTTAATGGTTCCAGTATTAAGTTAAGGAGTGTTCTCTGCCAGGTCATTGCTAGGGACATGGAATAAATCAGTGACCCCAAAATCAGATTGCTTGGCAGAGTTGTGCTTAGTTAACACCTGTTGAACAAATTGACATAAATTCTGTCTCTCAAGACACCTTTGCAGAATGCATTTCATTTTGGTCTGCAGTTGTGACAGGCCTGTTGGATGACTCAGAACATTTTAAAAAATATTATGTTCAAAAATCTCACGAGGTTAAATACATCTCTGTTATAGGAAGCTTATTTTGACAGAAATGATTATCATTTAACAATTCAAGCCATATCTTTGGATCAAAAGCCTGCAAATGGGCAGATAATAGGAATTCATGACTGATCCAGTGTAGGTCAACATATGTGTAAGATGCAAGTGAGTGAACCCTAAGGAATTTGGTCCATCAACTTGTATCTTCTAGGTTATATAGTACCTTCATATCTACTTTTTACCAACCAGAATCTCAAATTCATTATTTTACATGCTTTTCTTTTAAAATCTACAGTCCTTTGAACGAGTGTTGGTGGAAAACAAGCTGCATGGCCTCTCTCCAGCCCTTTCTGAAGCCATCCAGAGCATTTCCAGATGGGAACTGGTGCAAGCTGCTTTGCCTCATGTTCTCCACTGTACTGCAACCCTGCTTTCCAACCGGAACAAGCTAGGTTGGTGCTCCTACATTACTTGTTTATTGCATATTGTTGTCCTGTGTGTTCAATACTCATTAAAAAAAAAAACATTCATTGAGTGGTTGTTATCATCCCATGCACTGTTCACATATCATCTTATTTAATTCTCAAAATTCTACTCACATCAGTACCATCGTTATTTCAATATTACCAGTGAACTGACTCTTGTTTTTAATTGTTCTAAGTCAATGACTCTCATCTGTCCAAGATGAGTCCTACCTAGAGGTTTCCTCTTCGACCTCCCAATTCTTCAAGCAACCACTTCACGAATTTGACTATTGAAGACATTTCCCCAGCTTTGTAGTGGCCCGTGTGTGTGTATGTGGGTGTGTGTACATAAAGWTTATTTTCTCATCTGGCACTATGTCCTAGCCATATCCCGTGTTAGAGTGCACATTTTTTTCCATCCCATTCCCTGACCTCATCTGGGCCTCTGCTCAAGTGTTATCTCTATAAAGGGGCCTTTCTAGGTCATGTTGTCTAAAATAGAATGGTTATTGTCTCCAGAGTCTATATTTTAACCACTGTGTTACCTGCTTAGAAATATGTTTGGGTATTTGACAGATGAGATATAATATCARATTTTACCTAAATGATATAGCATGCTCTTGTCCAGAGATTTCAGCCAGCAAGACAGCCCCCCAGACAAAAAATGAGCCCAGCTGATGGTAGTTGGTAGATGTACAGAGAAATGCTAATGTCTTCTGGGGAATCAAGCTGCAGAGCTAAGTAGAGATATTCTTCCCAGACCAAACATTATTCTGGTCAGCGTTTACTATTTCTTGGCTGTGTGGTTGTCCAATTCAGGCCACCAAGATAAGCTSGGTGTCGCTGAGACCAAACTTCTTCACACCCTGCACTGGATGCTCCTAGAGGCTCCCCAGGACTGCAACAGTGAGCGGTTTGGGGGCACAGACCGAGGCTCCAGCTGGGGTGGCAGCAGCAGCGCTTTCATCCAYCAGATTGAAAACCAGGGTTCTCCAGGTCAGCCCTGCCAGAGCAGCTCCAATGATGAAGAGGAGAACAACCGGAGGAAGATCTTCCAGAACTCCATGTCTACTGTGGAGCTCTTTGTGTTTCTGTTTGCTCCTCTGGTACACAGAATTAAGGTGAGCAATATGCAGGCATTAGGCATGGGTGGGATGGAGTCAAGGTGAGAGTGGGCTTCGAATGATATTTCCATATTTGGTTATCCATGTCTTCATATGGTCGTACGGCAAATCAAGGCATGGAGGGTTTGATTTGGGGATTAAACTTCTGCACATTACTTTAAAAACACAAATCTGCATATATCCTTTACCAATCTTCAGTAGTTCTCCATCTGCCTCAAGATAACGTCCAACCTATTAAACATGGTGTATAAGACCAAGCATGACCTAGAGCTTCAGTCCCTTTCTTGACTTACCAACTGTCAGCCCCTGTTGGCCCCCTCATGATGCAGCCTTGGGAGCCACTGGAACCATTCCCTGAATATGCTCTTGCTGTTTGCTCTGCTCTTGTTCTCTCCTCTCTTCCTCATGGCCCTTTAGACTCTAACTTCAGTATCATCATATCCATGAAGCTCTTCCTTTGACCTTCTCCATGTAGACGTTGTCACCAATCTTCTCGGTATTTCTATAACATCTTGTAACTACCTCATTACAATACAGGGTCTAAAGCTGAAGGTTAAAATTTTTACTTGCTATGGACTTTTTGACAGGTTCAGTCTAAGAATTGCTATTTAAAATATCTTTAAATGTATAAAATACAAAACACGGGATTACATGAAAACCAATGGTCTTAAAATACAATTATATCCATCTACTGCTGAATCTGGAAAGTACAATATAACTTGAAATCAGTGTGCTACCACTGTCTAACTGGTGACCCTATTTTTGATGTTACTTAATCTCTTGAATCCCCAATTGCATGAAATTGTGGATACCTCCAACAAAGCATGGAACTGTGTGAAGACACACCTATCATATTATATCTAAGCACCACACTGGAAGGAATGTACTGTACTAATCTTTCAGTAGAATATTATGACATTAATGAATAAATATTCAAGATAGAAATGCACATATGAAGGGGGTTGTGACGATGAGCAATCACTACAAAGGGAGTGGGTTAGAGATTCTTTGTACTCATTTTAGTTTTCTAAAAAAAAAAAAAAAAAAAAATGTTCATTTCCCATCGACACTGCCCCGTTGCTGATAGGAATCCATTTCAAACTACCTATAAATTCCCCAAAAGCAACACATACACTAGCAACATTACCAATAAAATATGCTAATCTTTTTGGTATTGTTAAGTCAAATTGTTGTTTTAAAAAATCTTTTAAAAGGACACTTAATGGAAAGCCTCTCTTTAAATGAGACCATCTACCTGGCCTATGGAACCTGCAGAACCCAAACCCTCTCTGGAGCCTCTCCCTTCATTCACTAGTTTCTCTCCTGTTCACTAACCTTTGGGCTCACTGTGGGCTCACCTCAAATCTGATGAGCTCATTCCTGTCTTCAAGTCCTTGCACTGGCTTTTTCTTCGGSTTGAAACATTCATCCACATCCTCTACTTGGATTTTTCACATGGCCCTGTCTTTCTCATCAAATTTCTCATAATTCAAATGTGAACACCTCTGAAAGTTCTTCACTGACCACCTTTGTGTCACCAATATATTATTGCATCCTTTTCCCTTTTTATAGCACTTGCCACTACCTGGAATGACTATCAGTGTTTGYGTACATGTGAACTGCCCATCATGCCCACCTGAACAGCAGTCCTGGCATGAAGGCATGCTGCTTGTCCAGGTCACAACTGTGTCTAGACTAGTATGTGGCACATGAGGCTCTCAGTAAGTGTTTAATGAGTGAGTCACTGAGAAAACCCACACGATTATCAGAAGCTGATCCAAGTGCTAAAACCAGGCAATTTTAATTGGGCACACAGTCTTTAAAATGGAGAGGGCAGAAGAACCCATTGCCCCTGAACACATCTATGTGCCAACCAATACCACTCACATTGGAAAAATAGGCATGCCCAGAATGGCCATAATTTTGTTTGGAAAGACATGGCAGAAGTTTGCTTTTTGGAAATAGATAAAACTGTCTTTGAATTCAGAGCTGGTTGCTTCCTACCATATGACATCAAGCAATTAATTTATTTAATCTCACTTTTCTCAAGTCTAAGTTGACTTAAGGATACACTCATGGTACATTGTGAGAATTCAGTAAGTTCTAATACTCAGCCTGAAACACAGAAAGACTAGTTGTTTTTACTGTTGATATTTTATTGCTGTTGGCGTCATGTATTTTGGGGAGAGAGACATTGAGATCCTTTTTCAGGAGAGACTACAGATAGTTGGAAAATCTTGTCCCAAATACCCACATTTACCTGTGACCCAGTATTGCACAGTGGTTGATACAAAATAAATAATTATTATGAGTTACATTACTAGCATGATTGTTGTTTTATCATTTTGCCATTGCTAGGAGGGAAGTACTGTTYTAGATACTATGGATAATAAAAAGTGTTAGCCAATAAATTTTGCTACAAGGTTTTTTCCATTTAAAAAAGAGGYATTTGCTTTTTTCAGTGTTGCTAGGGAACGTACAATTTCCAGATCAGTTTCTTGGTCTTGGACAGTTGGCATGTTAGTCCAGATAATGCCTTGTCCTGGTCCACTGGCCCATGGATTATGGAATATTTAGCACCATCTCTGTCCTCTACTCACTAAATGCCAGTAACATCCCTGCTTCCCTGAGTTCTAACAACTGCAAGTGATTCCAGGTGTCAGCAAGTGTCCCCAGGCAGTGAGCAGAAGGGAATTCTGTGCCCCATTTGCCTGCTGATTATCAGACTGTGCAGAAGACTATCTTCTTTCCATGTTGATATAAGCCCATATGAACTGTCCCTCCCTCACCAGCACCGTCAATGTCCTTTGCCCTTCAAAACTCCTACCGCAAGACCATCTTTTCTATTCTTATTGCAGACAAAGGTGTGCAACTGGGGAAACCACACGGCCATCCAGGCTTGTATTTCTACAGACCTGTGCTCTCCAACCCCAGGGCACTGCACACTTGTCAGTCCTTTGCTTGACTATACTCCCGTGAGTCCCCACTCAGCACTTATAACACAGTATTGTAAGTTGGGCCTCACAGGGGAGGCCTAAGTTCAGTCAAGGCATGAAGCCAAGTCTCCGCATCCTCACCTTCATTTATTCCTCAACTCCTTGCAGTTGTTCTGCTTGCCCCTATGATATGGCAGGCAGTTTTCACACATCATTTCCAATTTTCAACCACCCACATGGAAGTGAGTACCTTTATCTCCAAAGCTGAAGTTCAGAGAGATAATAGACAAGCTTGTTAATAACCAAAGAGAGATTCAAACCCAATTCCATCTGACTTCCTACAAAGTTTTCTTAAGTTTCTGTACTGCAGTTGTTGTTGTTTTTTCCCCCACTAAGGTCTGAATTACTGAACCTCATCTGTATTTTTCAATCCTTATTTCATTAAACCTCAGCTATACTTGAAACTACCCTTGAAGCTYTTAATTCTCTTCATGATACCACACACTGCCGATTCCCCTTGCATCCGTATTTCTGCTCCCTCTCTTTTCTAGACCGCATCTCCTTTGACTGTCCATTTAATATTGGGGTCCCCCAGAGATGCATCCTGGTTCTCTTGCTCTTTTTTTTTTTTTTTTTTTTTTTTTGGAGTGCTGGGGATTGAACTTAGGGGCACTCTGCACTGAGATTCATTAATCCCCTATTTTAAAGTCATTTTAAAATTTTGGGACAGAGTCTCATTAAGTTGCCAGGCTGGCCTTGAATTTGTGATCTTACTGCCTCAGCCTCCTGAGTAGATGAGATTACTGGCATGCCACCACGWATGGCCATCTTGCTCTTCTTACTCTATCATTTCCCTGGAAAACCCCCCTCCCAATCATTTACCATTTGTGCCCTATAGGCTGAGATCACATAATTCTGCATATCCAAGGCAGACTCTTCTCTTGACCTGTGGACCAGATTTTCAACTCACTTCATCTATGGGCATTTCAGACTTTTTCTGGTGGAGCCCTTGTCCCTATATTCTGTATTTCAGATCCTTCACACAAACTCAAACTACCTTTACTTATAATCTCATCCTTATCTGCGCATTCCACTAATCACACATTCCCACCCATTTTTTCTCCTAAATATTTTTCAAACTCACCACATCTTCTTGATACCTATTTACAACCTTAACCTAAGTGTCTCTCTTTCTTGAAACTTTTTCTTTCTCCATGGATGCACAGTCTCCTGTTTCCCTCATAAAATCCAACATTAACACCCAAATGACCTATCTGAAGTGTAGATCTGACCATGTCACCAACATGCTTACCATAATTTGTTGATTTCTCAAAATACAGAGGGTAAAATTCCAGTAATGAGATCTGCTACACTGGGCCCTGTATGACCTATCTGTCTACTTCTCCTAGAGCTTCAGATGTTTAGAGCCTCCTAAGAATATAATACGGTTCTTTTCAAGCCTTTTGTCATGTAGGTCCTGCTGCCTAGAATGTCCTCAAACTCCACCCCTCTCCTAGAATACTCCTATTCATCCTTTAGAACATCGTTAGGGATCCATCCTTACTCCTCCTCTATTTCCATGATATTTCAGGGGCATGATCACAGTTGTACTCAATTTGTTTATCGTTAGCTCTTTATCTCTCTCAGGTGAAAATTATCATTGTATCTCTGGTAGCTAATGTAGTATCTGTGTTTAGTAGGTACTTAATCTTTGTTGAATGAATGAATTCACCAATTAGCAAATAACTCTAAGTGACTCTTTCATTGGTAAGATAGCAGATGACTCAATGTATGTTTTCCTTTCCTTTAAAATTATAATTAGCTCAAAAAGTTCACATAAAATCAACAATCTGAAAATCAAGTGTATGATTGCCTTTAGTCTCAATTTAATCTTATCAGTTAAAAATGATGAATGTTAAAGAATCTTTTTAAAATATAGTGTCAMTATTGTCACAGTTTTATGTTTTCACTCATCCCTCAAGGAACACTTCTTGAGTGCTCTATCTAGGCACTAGTAATGGAGAAACAATAGGAAATAAAACAAAATGCATGCCTGCAGGGAGTTTTAACTAAATCCCTATGTGTGAAGTACACAACTTTAAAATGGAACTTAAAATAATAGTTGTTCGATTAAATCTCTCCAAGCAACCAGCCAGAACATTTAGAATGGCTTCATGACATCCTAGAAACAGACCCTGGGGGAAAGCAAAAAGCATCTGAAATGTGGAGATGTGGATTCCACCCACCAGTGTTGACACCTTCTCTTTTTTCTCAGGACCTTTTTAGACTACTTGTTCTACAACTATTTGAATGATTGAAAAGTGTCTTCTCCAAACGTTGAGTTTCTGGTTGTGTGTGTGGATACATAGCCTTGGATTCCCACTCTAGAAGACTCTGGAAGAAAAATTAGGGTCTCAGAGTTTATGCACTCAGCCAACTTAAAACAGTTTACACAGGAACTTACCAACACAAGAGGAGACCAAAGATGCTGCATACATTCAAATCTGTAGAGTGATAGAATTTAATTGCTCTTTTTTAGAGAAAGTGAAAATATTGTTCATTTAATTAACAATTATATATTTATGCTCAAAGGGAAATGTTCAGAAGAAGTTCTCGACTTGTCTTCAAAAAATATGCAATTTAGATGAGTGTGGTGGCACATACCTATAATCCCAGCTACTCAGGAGGCTAAGGCAGAAGGATTGCAAGTTCAAGGCCAGCCTCAGTGGTGAGGCCTCCAGTAACTTAGTGAGACCCTGTCTCAAAATAAAAAATAAATAAGACAGGGGGATGTATCTTGGTGGTAAAGTGCCTCTGGGTTCAATCTCTGGTACCCCTCCCCCCAAAAAATGCAATTTAGTTGGGGTTATATCAAGAAAACAAAATGATGACAGTGAATGCCATTAGATGCAATATGCTAAAAACTAGAATTTTAGTAGCAGAGATTTTAGCACTTCCTGTTGCAATGTCCATCAGAGTTTTACTTTTGTGTTGATATTATGAGAAACATGGACAAGGATTGAGCTAAAAAAAAAAAAAAAAAACTAAGATATCATTAAAACCAGGTCATTTGAGCTTTGGTTTCCTGCTTTTCTGAAGACAAATCTGATAAGCTTTGCTTAATGGTAATTCCCTGCTGGCTGGATAATATCATGCAGACTTCCCTAGGGCCATTTCAAGGAAATGTGGGTTACCCTCCTCTAACCTTCAGACCTATTTGTTTCTAGCTTAATATCTCTTGTTGAAAATCTAACTGGCATCTCAAACTTAACATGTCATGCATCTGAAATCCCCAAACCTGTTCTTCTTCATCTTGTTCATCTTCATTAATCTCAAAGCCCCAAATCCTGGTACCTCTTTCTCTCTCACATTCTGCATCTTATCAGCTAGCAAATTCTGTAGGTAGATCTCTAAAATGAGTTCAGAAACTACCATTTCTTACTTTATTATGTATTAGCACCCTAGTCTAACCATCTTTCACCTAGATGATAACAATAGCTTGCTAAATTATCTCTCGTTCCACCTCTGCTCTTTCTCAAACTATTCTCAATAGCCTGAGTGAACCTATTGAAACCCATTTCCAGTCATGACAGTCTGTTTACTCAGAATCCTTCAGTGGCTTTCCTTCTTACTCAGCAATTGCTGAAGCTCTTACTATGTCCTGTTAGGAAATAAATTATCTGACACATGATAATTTCCCTGATCTTATTTTTTTTTAACCCTTCTTCTCTCATTCTCTTGATTCCAGACTCACAATTTACTGGTTGCTTCTTGACACTCTGCAAACTTAGGGCCTTTGTGCTTGCTGGTCCTCTTTCATGGAATGCTATGCTTTCCTGGCCTTCCTAAGATATCAACACCTTTTCTGACATATGTCCTTACCTGCTTTACTTCTCCTTTGCACTATGAGCAGGATTTTTTGCATGCTTTGTTCTCCATTGTATTTGACAACCTAGAATAGTACCAGTCGCATAGTATGTGCTCTATAAATATCTGTAGAATAAATGTGGAATGAATTCAGACCAGATGCTTCATGAGCTATCCCAGTTATTTCCCAGGGAACCCTGGAGGCTTTCCCCATTGTGGGTACTGCTGGGGCTCTGCTGCTAATGCTGCCAGATCCCCAGCCTGGTCTTCAGTGATGCAGAAGTGCCCTTTCTCTGCCAGTGTGGGTGAACTTATTCAAGGACTTTAACAATGTTTTCAGCAAAAGATGCTTTGACATTCAACTACATGGATTCACCATTTGTAGTATCACTTTTCTTTTTCTATTTTCCAATTTCTTCTAGGCTCTTATCCTTCTAGCTCAGTGGCTTCCATCTATGGCTACATGTAAGAGTCACCACAGGGAACTTTAGAAAACCTCACAGAGGTTCTAATTTAATGGGTCTGGGTATGGGAGGGAAGTGAGACCTGGGATGCATATGTCTTAAAAGCTCCCCAAGTAATTGCAATATGCAAGGCAAGGTTATACATCATGGTCCTAAGTGAATTCCTGGGTCTCAGATGTGTTCATTAATCTGTGATCACATTCTCTGCTTCCAACTTCTTTGAGGGGCTGAGTTGTGTAAGATGCATTCTCACAACACCACGTATTTGTATTTACACAATGTGAGATTATATTTTAAATACCTCTGCCTCTGGAAAGAACATAATGATGAAGCAGAGAATATGTTTTTGGAAGAGACCTTTAACTAGGGATAAGTCGTGTGAGCATGGGTTGTAAAGTCCGTCTAATTCAGCAAGTACCTATTGGATTTCTATTGTGTCCACAATTCCTAGTGCTGTATTAAGAGTTGTGATGTTGGAGTGGGAAGGAAGGAGGGTGCTTGATCTGTCCCTACCCTCAAGGAATTAAAGATTATTAAAAGAACAAAATAACACACCACAAAGGGTTAAAATATATTTACCTACTTCCATAAAATGCAAGGAGAAATGGAATGAAGCATAGAAAGTCAAAATAGCCAGGATGTGAAGATATTGCCTTATTAGGGAAAAATGAGGACAATTAAATAATTAAGAGGAATTATCATGACAACCTCCAATGAAGAGATCCACCAAGACTTTTGAAATTGTTGCCAACACAAAACATTAATTTGTGCATTCTATGCTTTGCCCAAAGCTACAGTTTGATTAATTATTTATTTTGCATAAAGCAGATGACTGTGATTTCCACAGTGGTTGCAGTGATAGCTTAGGGTTATTGGTTTACCCAAAGAAAGTTTGGCAGATCAACCCATTCAGGAAAACACGTTGTGAATGCGTTGTTTCCTCTAACCAGTTCTTACAAACCAGTTATTAGACAGATTTTTCTCTCCCCAGGAATCTGACCTCACCTTCCGATTGGCCAGTGGGCTTGTTATATGGCAGCCTATGTGGGAGCACAGACAGCCGGAAGTCTCTGGCTTCACAGCATTGGTAAAACCCATCAGGAACATCATTACAGGTTTGTGATTCCTTCACACTTTGAAGGAAGGGTGGTGGGATGATTTTCCCTTAAGAAGTTTAGAATGAGAACATCTGGGGGCGGTATCTGGATGTCCCAAGTACAGGGCTTATTCATATCCAACAGGGACTCATGCTTTTCTATTGTGTGACTTTGGGTAAGTTCCTTYATCTGTAAAATGGGAATTAAAGCATCATGTTAATAGAATTTACAGGATTATTGTAAGGAACAAATGAGTTAATATATGTAAGATGTTCTAAAAACACAGTGACTGCCTAGCACACAGAAAATGAGTAAGCAGTATCTCTTATTATAATTATTATTTTATCATTATCATGGTAGATGAAGTAGACGCTATCAAAGCATTTCACTTCAGGAGTCATTTAATGAGATTGTGCTATTGAATTACAGAAAGAGCACAACAGGAGAGGTTAAAAAATGCATGGAAGCTCATACTTTCCTTCAAGTCTGTCTCTTGCTAAGGATATGTAACTGAACTTTCCTGTCTTCATTAATGTAAAATAGAGATGATAATGCACTTTACAGGGCATCTTAGTAAACAGTAATGAGAATGTACATTAAGTACCCATTTTATAGTATGTGCTTAAAAGATTCCGTTGTTCTATTCCCAACCTTATTTTTAGCAACAGTAGTTAAAACTTTTAAAAATTAATTATGTGGAAAAATCTACAGAAATATATATGTATACATATATATATACATGCACACATATATGTATATTTGCATACATACATCTTATACACACAAATATGTGTGTGTCTAGTTTGCTAGCTTTGTAAGATTTTTGTGCAGACAATGGAGGATTATGCGTGTAAAAGGACTCTCTCTATAAATAGAAGGAAACTCTAAGCCTGCTCTTATATATATTTTCTCCCTATAATTTAACACAACGTTGCAAAGTATATGTTAAGGAATTGTATAACCAAGGAGTGCCATGTTATTCATATATTTGGTAGGAAGCTTTAGTAGTCAATATAATCATTCAAAAGGAGAGTTAAATTTTTCAAATTATAAAAGTAGATTAATCTCAGAACTTACATGTATACAAAGCATTAATGTTTGAAATACCAATTCAAAAGTGACAGCCTGCCATAGTTCCAAACATCAAAGAACTAAATCAGTAAAGGTGTCATACCCAAAAAACTACTTCAGATTCTGTGTATATAATAAGGTTACTTTGGATTCAAATAATTAGAAAGTAAATATAGGTGTAAGAGGTTTTTTTAAAATCTAAAAAAGTAGACTTAAGACAAAAATAATAAAATATGCTCACATGTAACAAAATTATTAGTGAAAAAACCACATCTTTATGGCATGTTGATTAAAGAGACTTAATTTTTTTAATGTTTTTAAGTCTTCCTATCACTTTCTTTCCTTTTCTCTTTGCAGTTCTGGGGGTCAAACCCAGGGCCTCATACATGCTAGGCAAGTGTTCAATCACTGAGCTACCATCTTTCACCCAGCCTTCTCTCTCTCTATGATTAAAATATAAATTGGGGCTGGGGAAATAGCTCAGTGGTAGAGCATTTGCCTAGCATGTACAAGGACCTTGATTCTATCCCAAGCACTGGAACACCCTCCCCTACCACACACACACTGTCATTTTATATACAAAAATAACTAAGAAACCATGCCCATCCATGAACATCTGGGTTCTTCACCTCACCCTGCCTTTGCTTCTGGATGATGCTTGTGGTTGTTTTCTTTCCCCTGTGTCTAATGCTGTGCACTTGAAATGGTGCCAGCATCGGAGTGCATTAGACTAGTTTAGCCAGCATGGCCAGAAAGAGCAATGGTACCTGGTGACCTTGGCAAATCCCTTTCCTTCTCAGCGCCAGACTATTCAGCACTCAAGTGAGGCATTGCCATCTTAGTTTCCCACTGATCCTCATTCTAAGGTCAAGATGTGAGGGATTTGAGCATTACTTTAGGAGCAGCTTAATGTAGTAGTTGAAACAGACTCTGGAGTCAGACAGCCTGGGCTGAAGCCTTCATGGAAGTATTAAGTGACCATGGGCAAGTTAAACTTCCTGTGCCTTAGTTTCTTCATTTGTAAAATGAGTATAATTTTTTAGCAGTATTACAGGGTTATTGAAAGGATTACAATAATTAATATATATATATAAAATCCATAGAACAGAAATTGTGGATAATATATGCTAGGTAGATGTTATCTATAATTATTTTTAGTATTCCCAACTTCTTAGCATCACAACCTGAGTTAGACTTAGGTTGATAAATATTGACATTGATAACCTAGAMGTGCTAAGATTATTTTGAATCCCTTATTTAATTTCTCTTACATGTTTTATTAAACAGCTTCTTTCAAGGTGACAATGATCTGTTAAATTGGCTTTTTATTGGAATGAAATGAACTTATGAAATAAAATGAACATAGAATCTTATAAAATTCGTGATGGAATTTCTTTGATCTTTCCAGCCAAGAGAAGTTCTCCTATAAACAGTCAAAGTCTGACCTGTGAATCACCAAATCAGGAGACAAGACACCGAGAGGTTAGTTTATTATAATTGTAAGAAGAGAGAAAGGAACTCTGGTGTAGTGTATTGTGGAGGGTGAGACTTAAGTTCTAGAATCATACTACTGAGCTCAGAGCCCTCCTTTCTAAATGTGAAATTTTTAACAGCCTCAGGTTTTCTATCAGTCAAGTATGAAAATCAATATCATGCATCTCTCCAAATTGAAGAAGTGCTGAAAAAATATATTGTGTGACTCCCTGTTTTATCTCCATGATTAGTATGTGATAAGTAGTGCTTTATCTCACTGGCTAGTATATAACACTCTTATCATTATTCATCTCACATTAAATAAAGTATCATCTTGTTCTCAATTATTGAATCCTGTAATGTTTATTAGGTAACTCTAGTGTAGGTTTAATAGTGTCTCAGGGGGTTAGGGTGGGGGAGTAGGAAGGAGAGAGAAGATGCAATCCTATCCATTACAGAATCGGAAGTTAATGAAAAGTCATAACTTATCCACATAAACAGAAGATGCAAGATAAAAAAACAATGTAATTMAATGCAAATTTGTCACATTTGGTTCTTATAAGAAAGAAGTGAAGGCCAGGGAAATGAAAGCCACATGGAAATGTATACTGCTATTAATGTAGCATGTCATTAGTTGACCTGCCTTCACTTTCATTTCAACATGTGCAAAGTGCAACTTGCTGCCTTCCATAGAAATTGGACCCCCTTTTCAACCTATGTGTTACTGTCAGGAATATCATAATTTATCTTCTTACCCTCTAAGCTGGAAATATTGGTGTCCTAGAATATCTGCCATTTACTGAACAATTTCTTACACTGATTTATGTGCTTTAAGATTTATGTATTTTTCACATTTAACATCTTTGAAATTGAGTGTACTTGACAATCTTTGACCTCTTACTATCTCCCTGCCTGGTGGCAGTCTTGATATGGTTGTCAATCTCGTGCAGCCTGAATTTGGTCATTTCTAGCATTGAAATTTGCAGCATCAGGGTCAATGACTTGCAGAATGTCAGAGGGAATTGTGGTACACTCTTGAGAAATGATGCCTCGACAAAATAACACATCTTGACATAGGAAGTTGTTCTTTGGAAAAAAATATAAACAACTCTCAGTTAAAAATTCTGAACATGAAGAAATGTTAGGAATACCTATACCAATTTATTTCATGTATACACTTCTTTCATATATACATAGGATGGATGTGTAATGAAACGCTATGCCTATATAAGTCTAAAATAGCTCTTTCAATAAGTATAAAATGAAAGTCCTCACTGATAATAAGCCAAGTGTCCTAATTTATTTAACAGTGTACCTTTTTAACTCTATGGTGCCTAAAATAATGCATGTCTTATAAGAGATGACATCTTAAATACAGTGAAATATGTAAATCTCATACTTTTTCTATATAATCCTCCTGATCTCTTGCTGAGTCATAGTGTTTCTTTTCATTATGTTACTAAGATGTGCTTTTTATTTTCTATGCCCTCTACCACCCTCCAAATCCAGAACCTCATAACTTGACTGCAGCTTTAACCACCTAATCAGATTTTTAGGTAAAGCGCCTGTATAGTGTACATATGATGTACTCACCATATGTACATTGGATCAAGTTCAGAGGACTTGTTTCATGAAATTTCTAGCTGTATTTATTTATCTGTAAATTGTTCTTAAATCATGACTTCTTTTGTGTATGAAAATAGAAAGTGTAAGGACAAAATTAATATGATAGATTTTTGAGAATCTTTATGCTTTAGCAAAGAATTTAATCCATAACCTATGGATAGATATCTCAGATTAAATTTATAAGCCATATGTAACTTAAATTTCTGGATGTAACATAAACCTTACAATTTATTCTTATGTGCTAGCTTTAATTTGATTATTTCCTGCTAAATTGGTGCTGGTCTTTAGCCTCATGCTGCCATTCAGTTCTCAGTTTGAGTATATCTTTGATGAATTGTCAGGCTCATAAATCTCCTACAGATAGTGGATACAAAAGTAAAAAAGAAAGAAATCAAGGGCAAAATGAAATAAAATTTATGAAAGTACTTAGCCTAATTCTTGGAATGACAGAGGTGCTCTCTAGAAGTCTCTTTCCATTTCCTTTTCAACAGAGGCAAAAATACCTCTATGACATTATAATTAGTTTTGATGAAAAGAAACTATGTATGTAATATAGGAGGTAATTTTAGAGGATATACCTGAAGGCAAAAAAAAAAAAAAAAAAGAAAAAACACAAAACCTAATCTGCTGTCTCCATGTCTCCACCTCCAAAAGGGACTCCAGGTGGTCTGTGAAACTTTGCAGTCTGATTCTATCTCACCCAAGGCCACCATTTCAGGCTGCCACCGAGGAAACTCCTTTGATGGAAGCTTGTCCTCCCAAACTTCCCAGGAAAGAGGCCCATCACAGTCCAGGTACATGATTGCAATGTTTGAGACAAAATGTATTCCTGGTTGCCAAGAATTAAATGTGCATTTTTAGCTACTTTCATATCCTCTGCTCTTTAAAATATGTATGTGCATGCTTTACGTATACATATTCTGGGCGGAAGTATAATTAGATTATTAATTGCAGAAATGTGATATGAATGCCTCTCATTTAAGCTAACCAGGGTGGAAGTGGGAAGACATATCTGATTTAATGAGATGTCTGAATTAGAAGCTATTTTAAATGTTTATATGCAGAAATGCCAATGATGCTATCAAAAGATTGTGTTGCAGAGATATTAAAGGATCTGCTTTAATGTATAAGGATACTTTATTCTAACAGATCCTTGTATTGAAAGAGGTTAAAGTTTGTGGGGAGTATAAAATCTGCTCTTTGCAAATATTCCAACTTGCTTACAAACACCCTCCCCAGGAAAAAGAGCTAGTCTACTTCCTAATCCCTGCTAAATTATTGATTCGTGAAGTTTGCCACTTCACCTAAGGGACTAGAGACCCTAAGATCATTTGTATATCTCTACTCCCAAATGAAGTCATAGTCTAGTGGGTAGTATTTTAAAAGTAGGCATTTAAAAATAGCTTTATTGAAATACAATTTCTATCCCATAAAATTTACCTGTTTTAAGCTTAGTTTAATTATTTTAACACATTTACAAAACTGTGTACCTATCACCATAATTCAATTTTTAAAAATTTCCATCATTCAAAAATGTCCATTGTATTCATTTACAGTCACTCCCATTCTCACACCTATTATACTTTCCATCTGTTTGGGGTTGCATTTCCAGACTTTTCATATGTGTGGAATAATATAGTTTTTGTTTTGTTTTGTTTTTTGCATCTGGCTTCCTTCACTTACCATAATGTTTTTAAGGTTTATCCATATCATTGCAGGTGTCTGTAATCCATTCCTTTTTATTGTTGAATAATATTCCATTCTATGAATCTATCACATTTTCTTTATTCATCTGTCAATGGATATTTTGTYTATTATGAATATTGCTTATATGAACATTCACTTACGAATCTTTATGTGAGCATAGGTTTCCAATTCTATTGGGTGGATAGTCATGAGTAGAATTGTTGGGTTGTGTGGCAAATTCATGTTTAATTAAAAAACACACCAAACTGTTCTCTAAAATGGCTGCATTATTTAACATCCTCCCAGTGACTTCTGAGAGTCTGTGCCTCTATGTCCTTGGGAACATCTGTTATTGTCTTTTTATTATAGTTATTTAAAAGGGTGTAAAATGGGATCTGATTGTGGTTTTGTTTACTTTTCCTTAATGACTAATGATGTTAAGTATATCTTACTGTGCCTATTAACCATTCAAAGATTTTCTTTGATGAAACATCTATTCAAAACTTTCACCAACATTTTAACTGAGTTATCTTATTATTGATTTTTAAAAGTTGTTTGTATATTCTGGATATAAATTCTTTCTCAACAAAAGAAAAGATTCACAGATATTTCCTCCTAGTATCTGGCTTACCTTTTCATTTGATAATTTTTAAACAGTCTACCTCCATCTGGAACCAGGTCCAAGTTACATGAATACAGTGTTTTCAAAAGATCTTAAAATTATTGAAAACAGGGCTGGGGATGTGGCTCAAGCGGTAGCGCGCTCGCCTGGCATGCGTGCGGCCYGGGTTCGATCCTCAGCACCACATACCAACAAAGATGTTGTGTCTGCCGAGAACTAAAAAATAAATATTAAAAAAAAATTCTCTCTCTCTCTCTCCTCTCTCACTCTCTCTTTAAAAAAAAATTATTGAAAACACAGAGCATTATAAATGCAATTCCTTTTTTAACCCCAAAACTATATGTTATGCTTTAAAAAATGATATGTAAAAGTGTGTTTATCTTTGCATCTTTATTGGAACTTTAAAAGCAAGTCACCTAATTAGATAATCATCTTCTGGGTGAGAATATGAAGATTGAAAGCAACCTTGGTGATGTAGTAAGTAAAATGGATTTTGTTTATCCACTCATTTACGTCCCAGGTCAATAGTGATGATGAGTACTTAAAATCACATATATGTGAAACTAAAGAAGATGAACTCATTGAAGTAGAATGTAGAATGGTGGTTATCAGAGGTTGGGGAGGGGTTTGGATGAGAAATGGGTGATGTTGATCAAAAGATGCAAGATTTCAGGAGAAGAGGAGAAATAGGCTTTAGTGATTTCTTGCATAGAGCAGTAGTTTGTTATTATAATAAATAATAATGCATTGAATATTTCAAAATTACTAAAAGGGTAGATGTAAAATGTTTTCTCTACATGCACACAAAAATACATATGTGAAGCAATGGATTTGCTAATTAGCTTAATCTAATCATTCCACAATCTAAATGTACGTCAAAAAATCACATTGTATGCCATCGATATAGAATATATAAATTATTCTTTCTCAATGAAATTACACATGAATGTGGAAGCAACTCTATGATGAGAGTAATCCAATCTCCCATCATCTCTCTGATGCATTAGTGACATTGAACTGCTTGAAGATTTTAAACAATAGGGAATTTAGTATTTTCTTATTTCTTATTTCACTTTCAGATAGCTCTATTTAGTGCAATGTCCTTATATYTGACCAAATTTGTTCTGTGGTTTCTATGATTTTTGTATTAGGTTTTGTTTTGTTTTGTTTACTGCTACATAACAAATTACAACAAACTTAGTAAAACAAAACACATTTATTACCTCATAATTCTGTTGGAAGAAATCCAGGCACAACTTAGCTGGGTTTCTTCTAGTTTAGGATCTCAGCATCCTGTAACCTGGGTGTCACCATGGGCTGCCTGCCATTTCCCCAAATGTTTGAATAGGGGAAGATCCACTTACAAGCTCCCTTGGGTTGTTGACAGAATTCATCTCCTTGTGATATAGGACTGAGATCCTTGTGTTCTTTCTGGATATTGGCTGCACCTGCTCTTAGATCCTAGAGGCTACCCAAAATTCATTTCCACGTGATCCTCTCCATAGGCTAGCTCACATAATGGTAGCTTGTTTTTTCAAAACCAGCAAGGACTAGAAATTGTAATTCCAGTCTGCTTGTTCATGGTCTTTGTATAATGCCAGATAAACTCAGAGTGACATCTTATCACCTTTGTCATATAAAGTAACCTAATTATGGGAATGACATCCCATTACCTTTGCCATGTTCTRCTGCTTATGAGCAAGACAGAGGTTCTGCCTACACCCAAGGGAAGATTCCATAYGTTGTGAACACTCTCAGATGAGAATTAAGGGTGGCTTCCCTAAGGTCTGTCTGCAGTCTTTTGGAAGATATACAAATTCCTTCCATATTGCCTTTATTCCAAAAGTAACTATCATGACCACTCCCACCCCCAGAAAGCTCTCATTTTATTTGATGACAAAAATGACATTCAAAGTTATCAAGAACATAATTAAATCATATGTGGAGGAAATATAATTACTTAGGACACAGAATAACAATAAGAACTACCTTTTCTGTAGCATGGATGAACCTGCTTGATACTATGCTAAGTAACATATACAAGACATAGACAAATACTATATGATACACTTACTTGTGAAATTTAAAAGAGACAATCTCATAGAAGCAGAGAGTATTAGAATGGTGGTTTTTAAGGGCTCAGAGGAGGGGAAAATGGGGTGATGTTGATCAAACATTATAGTTCAGGAAAAATACCCGACCCTTTATAGACATCAACATATGCAAAACAGTGCTAGAGTAAATAATCCATGGTATTATGTAAATACTCATTTATTCATTCATTTCTACTTTTCTAGATGGCATCACTATTGACCCTGTCAAAAACTTGAAGTTCACTGCACACAAAGTCTTTTACCTCCTTAAATCTCTCAAATCTCATAGTCAATTATTCAGAGCCTTATCATTTCCTACTTGGATTTCTGCAACTGTTTCCAAACTAATATTTTGACTATCAGTATTGCCTTCTCCTATCCAGTTACATACGTGCTGTTTCCAAAGTATTTAAAAATGCCTGTGGACTAAAGAATGAGTTATCTGCACCCAACACACCCAACATACACCACAGTGAAGCAAATATAACATAACTGCTGTGGACGTGCCTATTGAAAGGGATCAATTGGAGGCACTGGTTCATAGCAGTTTTGAAATGAAGCTAGAAAAACATTGGAAGCTCTTTGATTAGGACTCAGTCCCACTCTTGGTCATGGCTCTTGATTTTATCCTTTTCTGAGAAAGATAGCATACATTTACAGCTGAATAATTTTCTTAGGTTGTTTCTTGCTGGTAAAATTTTAGGGATATAATAGCTTCTTTTCCTTTTGCACTGTCTCTAGAAGTATTTTTGTTGATATAATTATTTTTAAAACTTTATGAGTCCATTGTGAATCTTACTGGGGTTCACTAAACTAGACAAACTCCATACCCAGAAATCTCTTTGAGATAATTCCATCTCTGTCTTGGACTTCCATTGAAGGACAAGATTTTAAATTTCTAAGAACTCCTCTCTTCCTCTGTTGCTGTCTCTTTCTCCCCAACCCCCTCCTGCTCTCTCTCTCTCTCTCTCTCTCTCTCTCACACACACACACACACACACACACACACACACACAGTCTTTAGAGGGACTTCTGTCTGCTGAAGCAATATTCTGAGATGAACTTGGATCATTCATTGTGAGTCTATACAAATGACTTTGTAGCTTACCCTTAGCCTTATCTTTAGACTATTTTTCCAGCAGCTCACTAGATATTCTGTTTGCTTGGAAGTCATTTCATAAATTTAATACCATTTGTTATCAGGAAAAGCTGATAGTTTTCAATATCATCAAGTTCACTCTGATTAACTGTTAATAATTTCTCCTTTAGTTCATATTTTTCTCTTGACTTGCTATAATTAGCAAGAAGAAACTAGAAGATATCTTTGACATTGTATTTGGAAATCTTTTTCATTCTATCACCTGGTTTGTTAGGCACATTTTTTAAAAACTTT